AGACTCCGCGCAATGTTGCATGACTTCGTATTTTATTGACGCAGTCTCTAAGAATCCGATCTGCTTAGATTGCTATAAACAAATACATCCCTCAGAACGTAGTGACCGAGATCTTATTATTTTTCATTACACGTTGATAAGCGCAGAGGATCATTATTATTGTTGCTACCTCTGTCCGAGTAGATTATCTACTAGTTAATTCACGAACATCTGCCCTGCTTGTGTTCAGTCAGTAAATAGATACGAGCACGCCTTAAACTCAGGCTTTGAGTCTCCAGAGCCCGAAGTGACCATCATTCTGCCTATAACCGAGATCCATAAATCTACTCCTAACGACATCCCTTATGTGTCCCCCACAAGTCCATCGCACTAATCCATTACCTAGACAAATTCCATACCAATGGTGGTTAGCAACGGCAGTTTGTTGCAGAGCCTCTTTTTATATGAATCGAATTAACGACGCCATAATTTGTGGAGACTGTTACTCCAATAAATCCGCGTATGACCGTAGCTTCTATGATCTCGTCACACGCCATTATATTCACATAGGCCCTGCGTTTCCCACTGTAATATAATATTACCGCGTATCCTTTCCACGCAATCTTGTAATATCTGCTCTACGATACTGAACGATTTTATGGAATACTTAAGTTACTCTCGAGATACCTCTTTCGAGGATCCTGAGCCTACGATATTAGCTATAGAGCAAATTCGAACTCCCACTACATCGGATCATTAATAGGCCGCTCTTAATGATCCCCCTACATTAGCTACCGTGTCTCCCCTTTTGGGAATATCTCGCTCTCTTTTTATTTTCAAAATCGTGAGACCGCGGGACGCAACAATGTGGTATAATTATTTCGTTCGTACATATTGTGACTGTTACCCCGGTATTTTTTAATGTTTTGCGCATGTATTCATGGATTCGAGCCCAAGGCACGCTGCCGACATCTCCTTTACATATGGAAAAGGACTTTAGCCCGAGTTCTTTGACAACGTCTAAGAGGGAATATACGACTTCTTTAATGGTTTCTTTTTCAATAACATCATAAGCTTTATTGTTAACGACTAGAGAAATAATATGATACTTCTTGTTCGGAGTGGGTCGGGCGCGTGCTATGGTTACATCTGTTAATTTCGGAAATAGCTGCGCGTCTAATAATGCATGGGAACCTTTGTCATGTGGTTCGCTCAAGGGTGAGACAAATACGACTAGGTTGTCCTGTCGACTCGATATGTCCTCCCGTGACATATGAAAAATAATTTCTTTTCCTTTATTCAGTTCGTATGGAACGTCTGTTTTGTCGAAAAGCGTGGTTTCGTTTTCGGAGCTGTCGTCCGAGTCGTCGTTATCGTTGTCATTGTCGGAGCTACTACTGTAACTGGAATCTACGGGTACTATTTCATGATTGTTTTCGTTGAAGGTATCGTGTTGTCTATTTGTTTGTTCTGTGAGAGTGGGTATTGTGTCGGATTTCTCGTTATTGTTATGCGTATCCCCAGAGTGTTCGCTTGGAATGTGTTCGGGGAGGTTGTTGCCTGATATTTTTCTTTCTTTTGTATTAATGTTGTCATGCGTGTTATGTGAGCTTTGAGTCATGCTTTTGGAATGTTTTAGTAGTTTTCTCTTTTCTTCGTGTTTCCGTGACTAATCGAATAGTGTCTTGTTGCGTCGCGGGAGGCTTAGGAAATTTTTTCAACGTGGAAAGAATAGAATGTGGATCGACTGCGGTCTCATATCATGTTTCCAGTCGAAAGACCATCGATGCTGAACACAATAGCGCGAGGAGCCATGGGAGAGACAATACAACCAGGA